GTGTTTTCCGTTGTTACTGTTCCACGTGAGGTTCTTATATTGGGATTCTGGTAAAGATCGAAGTGCAACAAGAAGATTATTCTGCTTATGGTAACTGGCCACATGGAGAATGGTATCGTGATGTATGGTTAGCATATGAAACGGGCCGTTCCTCAACCCCCGACACATTTCAAATACCTTGACATCGTCCGCTTGTGACAGAGCAGTATACAACTTCGCGTTAGTCCGATCATCGTTTCTGGACGAAACAGTATCTATAGTTAAATGACCTTCTCAAAAACTGAAATTAAATTTGAAATTTATTGAGATGTTAAATTAAATTTATTTCAAATTTATTAGAGGATTTTCAACTGAATTAATCTTAGGGACGAAAAAAACAAGAAATTACAAATTATAAGGACGAAAAAAGCAAGAAATTACAAATTATAAGGACGAAAATTGCAATTTCAAAACCAAAAGAACGACAATTGCAATCTTTAACAACGATTTGAACAAAAATCATAGTTCACTCCATAATTAATATTGAGATCGAGAAAACAAAGAAACAGTTAGAATTAAATGTAATTTCTAATTCCTCATTTTTATCTTATACATAGCATTCACATATTGTTGTTCCTCCTAACTAGACATGGCCAAAAACCAGTTCTGAGCCGGAACGGACCCAAATCAGTCATGGGCTGAAACAGTAACAATCCAGACTGGTCTTGTCAAAAATACTAAGACCCAGTTAAGGGTACTTGCAACCGGTTTCGGTAACTGTTTCCGGTCCCGGGCCGGGCCCAAACCAGTCCTATACTTTTTGATAAATTTTAAAAATACGTTAATGTTATTCTAATACACTTTAAAATATCTAATTAGGTCAATCAAATACACTAAAAAAATACGTTTTATTGTAATTTTATAATTGATTTTCAATCAAATACACTTAAAAATTACGTTTTATAATTGGTTTTCAATCAAATACACATAAAAAATATGTTTTATTGTAAATTTGTAATTTGATTTTCAATCAATTACACTTAGAAAACTAGAAATACATATAAAAATACATTTTTCTTGAAAAAAAATCGGGCCAGTCCCGGGCCGGACCTTGTTTTTGGATATAACCATAACTGGTCCTTAACCGAAGGTCCTAAACCGATCCCGATCGGTTCCGGATTGGGCCCATTTGGTTATCTCTACTCCTAACTCTGCAATTCAAAGATTCTCTTTTTCCATGGTCCTACTAATCATGGACAAGCATCTTATCATATTTTCATTTTTTTTACCCTTGATAACATCAAAATTGTAACATGTTAGTTTAATCGATATCTTTCTGTTCTAATTAGTCTCTTGTGAATCTTTGAACTCACTAAATCCGTTGTCGTCACCTTCATTTTACAGTACTGTTATATGCGGAATTTAGTTAGTCCCCAAAACCTTAACATTTCAGATTGTTACTTGATTTGCTTGTGATAACGTTGTGTAACACTGACATGAGTATAGACTAATGCACGCATAATTACTTCTTACGTATCGATTTTGATTAGATATTTATTTACCTTTTATGTGATTTCAGATATATACATACATATATGTTGGTACGAAACTGAGGCAAAAATGACAAATTGCAACTTCAAACGAGAAAAAGGGAGGAAGTTCTGTAATATAGCAGGAAAGGTGGGCCAACCAACTCCGTGAACAGACAGACAATTGACGTACTTCTTTCTTGAAACAATATTTAATAGCAACTCAAATACAGTATGATAAAAGTGGAAACAACTCATTTTTTTAACCACTTGGGTTGTGACACACTGTTAAGACTCAAACAGATGTATTGGAAATCTCATATTTTCCAGGTTTGAATCTAGGCTATTGTGATTATGGAGGTTCACCTTCGATGACTACACGTTATTCATATTCGTTCAAGGGATTAATCCGTTCATATAAGTTGGTCCAAATATCTACAGTTAGGACAAAACTGACTTAAAAAATTGAGGTTTAGGATTTAGTACTAAGGTTGGACCCATTAAGATTTATGATAATACGATGCCAATCATTAGCTTTTATGAGCATCTCCAACAACTATTTTTTTAAAATAGAAAAAAAAATTGTTTTCTAAAATTTGATATTGTAAGAGAGAAATGATTGTTTTATACAATTCCACCAATGAAATTAAGTTATTATTTTTTTATTAATTTTTTATGAAAAGTACATTAAAATAATAAATTAGAGAATATTATAATAATGTAATTTATATTAAAAACTTTAAAACAAAAAATCTATACTATCTTATAAAGCATTTGGCTAAAACTCTTAAAAACTCTTAAAACTCTTAAACTTGTTCATCCCTAAACAATTTCATCCCTGTCCGATTTTATCTCATTTCTGAATTCGTGTAACTAACTGCAGATAAACACAATCAAATACAGGATAAACATCTCATTTTAAATATAAAAAATCTAAAATATAATTAGTATAATCATTAAATTCTAACARAATACTTAATTATTATCTTTATAAAATTTATAATATTAAACCAAAATAAATTGTTTTATTATTAAACTTAAATTAAATTATATATGTACTATATTATAAAGCATTTGACAAAAACTCTTAAAAACCATTTTTATGCATAAAGTACTGTTTATTAATACATATTACTTAAAACTCAAGATTGCAAGTAAATTGTGCGTAAATACAACTTATTAAAGCTCCATATCTGAATTCGTGTAACTAACTGCAGATAAACATAATCAAATACAAGATAAACATCTCATTTTAAATATAAAAAATCTAAACTATAATTAGGATAATCATTGAGTTCTAACAAAATACTTAATTCTTATCTTTATAAAATGTTACATTATTAAATCAAAAATAAATTATTTCGTTATTAAAATTAAATTAAATTATAATTAAAAAAATAAATTAAAAAAACTACATAAAAAATAAGAACTTTTAAATAGTTGATTTGATATTAACATTGATATATATTTTTTCAAATTTTTATGATATCTTTAAATTTATATTCTATTCAAAAATAAAATCATTATTGTTTTCTTAAAAACACATATAATCGTATTATAACATCGACAGAGACAAATAATAAAATATAACATTAAAATCGAGATGTGTCTCGCTGTATTGCACGAGTACTCTTCTAGTATATTCAAAATGAATGTATTTTTTTTAGAAAATTAAAATTAAAATTTTTTATTTAGAAAATTATATAAAAAAAAAAAAAAAAAAAAAAACTAGTCGAGATGCTCTAAGTTTGTATGAATGGAAAACGACAATTCAAAGTGGGATATAATATTATATTTAATTAAATAATTAATAAAATAATAAGCATATATTAAAGAAAGGATAGATTGGTCAAAAGTGTGGGCCAAGAAAGCAACATCACAAGAATGAGTAAACCAAAAACAACGAATCCTTAAAACAAGTAACCAAAATTAAACCCCTTCTCAGTTTAATCCAAAAACAAATTAATATTTAATTTAAATTAAATATTAAACACATATTATTTATAAATGATATAATAAATTATTTATAAACTTAAGAAATCGTACGAAATCATAAACCGGTTTTCATGTGTTTTTTTTTATATCATGAAACATGTGTAAAAATAGTGTTTATAAGTCATATGTGAAGAAAACAGTCATAAACGTTTAATGTATGAAACAACACTGTATAAAATATTGTATTTCATATGTTTTGTTTCATATGTGAAACAACACATGAAAACTGGTTTGTAATTTCATACAGATTATTTAGTTTGTAAAAGAAGGAGACTCTAAACAAATATAAGATGTTTTTTTTGATAAAAATTATGTTGAAATTGATTAATATCTTGTTTCCACATATGACATGACAACAAACAATTAACTGAGACAAAAATGCAGTTTTTTTTTATCATATAAAATAACTGGACAAAAATAATCTGGAAGATGGACAATATAGTGAAAAGGGTAGGCTAATAATATTCTCTTACACACATCAATATTAAGACTCACTTTTTGCATTTTCACTGTATAATTTGACCCGATTTTAACAAAAATAGAGGTGCATATAACTAAACTATGCACAATTATCACTCTCTCGTCTGTCTAGTTTCATACAGAACCATTTGAACATCGTTTCAAATGGGTATTATTTTTCAAGAGATTTATAACATAAATATTATTTATACTTACAAATTAAACCACTTTATATTTATACTATATTATAAAGCATTTGACAAAAAAACTCTTAAAAACAATTTTTTATGCATAAAGTATTGTTTATTGATGTATGGTACTTAAAATTCAAAATTACAAGTAGATTGTGCGTAAATACAACTTATTAAAGTTCAATCTCTGAATTCGTGTAACTAACTGTAGATAAACATAATCAAATGCATGATAAACATCTTATTTTAAATATAAAAAATCTAAAATATAGTTAGAATAATCATCAACTTTTAACGTAACATTTAATTATTATCTTTATAAAATATTATATTATTAAACCAAATATTCCTTTGTTATTAAACTTAAATTAAATTATAATAAAAAAATTAAATTAAAGAAATTACACAAAAAATGAGAACTTTTAAATAGTCAATTTGATACTAACATTAATATTTTTTTTTCAAATTTTTTATGATATCTTCACATTATAATTTATTCAAAAATAAAAAATCGTTATCGCTTTCTTAAAAACAAATAAAATCGTATTATAACATCGATAGAGATAAAAACACAAAACAAAACATTAAAATCGAAATGGATCTCGCTGCATTGCACGAATACCCTTACAAAGATATAACATAACAAAACCTAGGATGAATTTTCAAAGCATATTTTGGAACCAACAAGAAAAGGCTACACAATGCAAAGAAAGAAAGGTATATCTATTTTGCAAGAAAACTTCACATAATTTGAATACCATTCCAACCTCAAAATGCAAACAATCCTCCCCACAAATCCTTGCATATTTATTCAACAACTTCAACCTTGCAATAATTCATCAACTTCTTCAATACCCACATTTCACATTCTAAACCCTAATCGAAGATGGAATCGAAGGGAATGACGACACCCGCTCGCGTTTATCAAGATTTCGAACCATCCATGGAGTGGGTTTACGAAGACGATTCTGACACCCTGCTCGTCTATCTTCCAGGTTCGTTAGTTTCTTTCTTACCCTTGATTGTTTCTTCAATTTTAATCAAGATTCTAAATGACATGAGGCGTGGCGGCGCCACGAGGTCAAATCTCAAGCCTTACGAATTATGGGTGTGCCACAACGTCTTTAAAGGCATGTCCTAAGGCGCGACAATATATATAGACTTGTGATCACGTGAGACCAGCCTGTTTTCGTGAGCCCACTTTTTTACACTTGAAATTTCGCAGCAAAACGTTGTGAATTAACATTCACAGTGTTTTTGCTGTAACCTTCACAATGTTTTGCTGTGAAGTTTCAAGTGTAAAAAAGTGGTCTTACGAAAACAAACTGGTTTCATGTGAACCCAGCCCTATGTATATATACACGTACTTGTGTATGTTAATGGAGCCACAAGGGTTAACGTGGTGACGAACCCAAACCTTGATGCCATAACAAGGCCATACCGAATTATTTAGAACTATGATTTTAATGTAAGCTTTTTTGAGAGAATTTTATGGGAATTTTTGCAGGTTTTGCGAAGGAACAACTTAGGGTTCAACTTCGATCAAGGAGTTTGATCATAAGTGGTGAAAGAAAGCTCCAACAGAACACATGGAGTCGATTCCGTGTGGAGTTTCCGGTTTCTGTAAACTGTGATCTCAACAAAATCAGTGCCAAATTCGAAGGAAATATACTTTTTGTTAGGCAAGGAAAAGTGATCACTCTTGCGGCGAAACCAGAAGAGGAAAGACGGCCGGTGGTTGCAGCGCCGGTTCCAACGACTCCAAAGCCGGTTTACGAATCAAACATGGCGGAGAAAACGACTGCCGAGAAAAAACCCATTTCACCAACACAACCAGACATGGAAAACAAGGGGAAGGATCAAGAGGTTTCGAAGATGGGAGGAGCAGAAAAGAGCGAAAAAGGTAAAGGGAAAGCCATTGAATCAAAGAAAGCAGAAGGTGTTCGTGGAAATGCTTCAGAGAAGAAACCAAGTGATTCCGATAACAAAAACAAGAAGGTGGTTTATGGGGAACTCGATAAAACGACTAAAACCGCATTGGAAAACTATAAACACGCGGTGGGTGTTTTTGCAACGAAGCTAAAAACGTCGAGGAATGCGGTGAATACGATTGTGATTCTTCTTGTTGCTCTCGTGGTTGGCGTCTACGTGTCGGGTTCGATCAAATCGTGGACAAAAAGTTGAATATTTGTATAAAACTGGTCGAAAATATACGTATTTTAATGTCTTTGCATGTAATTCGATTCGAATGTGATGAACTAATAAAAGCTTCTTGATTACTTACAAGATCTTCCTAATAAACCATGCCCATTTCTTGATCATATAATGTGTTAGCGTTTGTGTGGAATGCAAATAAGACTAAACGGTCGAGAGTGAGGCAGATTAGGGGTGTTTGTATCGGGCGGGTTCGGATGGACGAATCGAAAAGTCCGATCGGATTTTTTTTGCTCTAAATGATATGCTATATATATATATTAATAAGGTTTTCACGGTTTTTACAAATTGAATGGTTTTTATTTGAACCCATCCCTATATATATATATATATATATATATATATATATATATATATATATGAAAACCTCATTCAACCAATCATAATTTTTCATTTTGTTCATTTTTTTGTAATTATGAGAGGTTGATTAATCAATTTTTATTGTGGAGGGTGTTAATCATGTATATTATCATCTTCATTATTTTAATTTTAGAGAAATACATGAAACAGTTTCATTAAAATTTCATTAAGTAGTATATGAAACAATTTCATAATCACATATGAAACAACTTCATCAAAAGAAGTATTATATAAAACAATTTAACAAGATTAACAATTTCATGAAAAAATTTCATAAGATTAACGATGGATGAGAGTAGTTTTTACGGTTTTTACAAATTGCAGTGGTTTGTAGCTCTAAAACTCAAACTCTATAGAAGATATATAAACAATATTTTAACCCATCTGGTTTGTAGCTCAGTTGGTAAAGGGACGAGAGACTTTGCCAAAATAAAAGACATGTCATGGGTTTTATCACGAACCATCCCCTCCAGGTATTAGCCTTAGGGGCTGTTTGACAGTTGCTGAATAGTTTGGTGCAGTCGGATCTAGTGGTAATTATTATTAACAAGCTCTCATGATATAGTGCAAAATGAAATATAATTGTTCGATAATTATTTACAATGAAATTAGGGTGCTGAATAGTTAAGAGAGACACAAAATATAAAATCATTCAAAGGATTTTAGAAACATTAAAAGATATATTTTTTTTGCCAAACAAGATTCACATCTTAACGATTCAGAGACTGCCTCTTAATAGAACTATTAAGAGATAAACAAACAACCTCTTAGTCGTAAAATATGCCACAAAAATGCACATATAGGATCGCATATTTGGTCACCCGTGCCATCAAGAGCTCCAGCTCCTAAAGCAGAGCAAAAAAAACGAAAGAATCTCAATTTTTGCTTAACTTATATTCGACACAAACTTGGTTTCGGAAAACTTGCTGCCGGGGACTAACATCAAAGATAGGACTTGAGCCTGGGGAGTCCCCTTACATTAACGTTCTTCGAGGTGGGTTTACATTCGTATGAACCAGTTGAAGTTGTCGATGATCAATTTTTTGTTTTTCACCTGAAACCAAGAATTTACATATAAAAATAATAATATTTTTTTAAATATATTGAATATTTTATTAATGCAATAAATATTATAATTATTAAAATAAAATAATTATTGAAATTTGAGCAAAAAATCTTAACTCTTACTAATTCTGAATGGTTTAAATTTGAAAAATAAAAAATGAAAAATGAAAAATTAAAAGATGGAATTTGCCGCCTTAAAATTAACAAAATCATGTTTTTGACAGCAAACGCCACATGGCAAGTACCTAGTTTTTCGTTCTCTCCGCAGTTATGGGCGGCAACTAATTTTTGTACTTTTACTTTATCCTTCAATTATTTATCGATCCCTCATCTTTTTCATTTTGTCATAATTGACCCTTTAACCTTTTTAATGATCTCTTTAAGTCATTACTTTTCATCACGATTATGTACTTCCTTCCCTTTTATTTTCAACAATACCTAACATTAAATGCTCTAGTAAATAGGTAGCTCTGAGTGTTTAAGTTTGCACAGGTTATACTTGGAAAGTCCTACTTTTGTATATTTTGTATGGTATCAGAGTCGAAGTCTATTTTTTTTATTAACCTAGATATACAATCTGTTATATGAACCGACTAATCCTATGGCAACCACCTGCTTTGCGGGTAATCCGGAGTCATCGCATTTGAACCTTCTTGGCTACAAGAAGATTTTTATTCCTGCTTGAATTTGAACCTGAGACCTCCAGATACTTTGACCTTTGGAGTCCAAGCTCAAACCAACCAGACACCACTTTTGTGGTTGTTGAAGTCTATTTTTAAGATATCTATGTTCGACACTTAACATTCTAAGACATCTATATTCATCTGGTCGCTATTCGATAGGACGTGTTAGAATCCAATATGGACTAGAGTTTTAACATTTCTATTGGGTAATAGTCTCGTTTCTTCCCTTACCTAAAAATTTCGAACCTTGCCATGTTAATCAATTATGGTAATTGACCCAGTAAGTGTTCACCGATAATGTTTCGTAGGATGATTAATCTTGATGGTGTTGCTCACACCGTTAAATATTTAGGGACCTTTTCTGGATAGATGAAACCTCTTGGGGCTAATTATACATTACTCAAAATTTACAAATAAACCCCTATGCTTTCCAAAACTTGTTCTTCTATCTTGTCGATCGCTTTGATTCATCTTCCATGGACTTTTTATGGTCACATTTTTTAAAATTCATCAATGGAGCTGTCACTGACCTCACAATCAAACCCATTGCTTTCTTCTCTCCCTATCTTCTTTTGACTTCATTCTTCCACCATTTATAAATCTCTTTCAAACATTTGGATATAACACCGGTGACTAGCGGCGATGGAGATTTCTGCGGTGGTGGTGGCGGCGGCGGTGATGGCTTGTTAGTTCCCACTCAATTGGCTTCGTGATCGTTGAAAAGCTCGTTTTTCCAATACAGGTATTCGATTGTTCGTTCTTTTTTGAATATTTTAGCTTCTGGGTTCGCAAAATTCGAATAGTTTTGGAGGATTTGATTGCAGATTTTTGTGGGTTATGACACAAATTGAATTTGGTTTTGTGGTGGTGATGGAATGATGGGTGTGAAGTTTGAATTGGTAGGTTTTTGTAAGGGTGTCTTAATCAATGTCTGAACTAATCCAGCTGATAAATTATGACCTTAAAAAATCAACGTTGATATATTGGTGGATTAATGGTTGTGTTTTGTACAGAAAAAAAGGGGAAGAAGATGGACGGAGGCGTTCACCGATTCCGGCGACGGAGGAGCCTCCAGGAGCGGCTAGGAATAAAAGACATAGTTTGTTGTGGGTCCACTTGGGGAATCGGACCCTCCACCATGAGTATCGGTGGCGATGACGACGGCGGCGGCGATCTATTTGACCTAGTAGACCAACATATAGACATACCGGAATTGGTTCGGATCCCGCCGGAGTTAAATTCCAATCGTGACTGCGTGTTTCCGTCACCGCGGATGAATCTTGCCGCCGCGTTGGCGGCGGAACGCCACTCTCGGTCAACGACGGTGGAGGCTGACGGTGTGGAGAATCAGAATGAGAATGAGAACAATAATCGGTCAATATCTGCAACCCCACGGCGGAGTAGTACGCCGGCGCGTGAATCTCCGGGGAGGATGTCGTTGATGAGATTGTTGGAGGAAACGGACGGTCATGATGAAAAGGAAGGAACGGGGATGGATCTAGTGTGTTGCGTGTGCATGGGGAGGAAGAAGGGTGCAGCGTTCATACCGTGTGGACACACATTTTGTCGGGTGTGTTCGAGGGAGTTGTGGTTGAACCGTGGTACGTGTCCTCTTTGTAACCGTTCGATCACCGAGATCCTTGATATATACTAAATTCGATTTAATCGTACCCTTGGGAGAACAAATTTTCGATCAAACTCATAGATTTGTATTCCGTTAATTGTCGATTGTTATATCTTCAAAAGATCCCGAAATGATCGTACGTTTTTTGATCAGATATTTGTTTGCTTAGTAAAGACACCTTTAAGGTAGATTAAAGGCCCATAAAGTCGTTTGACGTATTTTTAGCCTATTTCCACGATTTCGAAGGAATTTCGAGGGATTAACGAAAACAAATCTAAGTAAAACGACCGTTTTTATGTTGTTTGAATGTGTTTTCATAATGATTATCGCAACCTTAAAACGAGATAACTGATTGCTTAAAGTTATAGTAGTTAAGTAATTGCACGTTCTTTATAAAAGTCTTTTACAAATTCATTTATCTTTTTTGAAAATGCTCATCAACGTCTCATAACCCAAAATAGCAGTATGGTCCATTAATCTTTAAATCAACTAAAAACTATGGTGAAAGTTATTAATAGACTATAATTTTTGGGCTTATAAAAAAACTGGGGGCATAAGGGGCATGATGACTTGACGTCATCCTCACCTTCCAGATAGTCCAAAGTTTCGATGGTTAGCTCTTGGCTTTCCAGTTGAAAAACGTCGTCATACATTTCATATGTTTCTAGTGATTCAGATGGTATTATCAAATGCCCTTGAGAGGGGAACAACAGTTGGAAATGGCTGCTTGTATCCCATCAGAGTTTGTCTTGATCTGGTACCGCTATCGTGGTCTGTACCCCTAGCATCTTGTTGTTGCATCGAAACAATCCGTATATAAGACGGGTTGTTAAGAAGAAATTTTATTATTAAATTTTATATCAAATAAAACATTATATTTTTACAACATTTTTAAATGGATCTTGTTCAAGCCCATTCTATTAGAGTGGCCCAATCTATTGTCCAAGCCAAATCATAGATCATAAAATGAAAGTTTTGGGTTTCAAAATAAATTAGATTATGTTTTGTTATGGATATGTTTTACAAATGGGTTGTTTGACAACTGCTGAATAGTTTGGTGTAGAATGATTAAGTGGTCACAATGATTAAGAAGCTCTCATGATATAATGTAAAATGAAATATAATTGTTTGGTAATTGTTTATAATGAAATCATGACGTTAAATGATTAAGGGAGACCCATGATATAAAATCATTCAGATGGTTTTAAAACTATTAAAAGACAAAAAAAAATTTTTTGCCAAACAAGATTTATCTCTTAACGGTTTAGAGGTTGTCTTTTAATGAAACTATTAAGAGGTAAACAAATAACCACTAAATGACACAAATAGGATTCAAATCTGCATCTAGGATGAGATAAATCATTGCTAACCAACTCTATTAAGGAAAACTTGTATTTCTATTGTAGTTTCAAAATATACATGGTCGCACGCAACAAGATGATACGATAACATCTTTCATGACCCAAGAACTTTTTACATTAAGACGGAGGAATGAAAATGTGACCAGTGCCACCATATCCACTAGTGTAGGTCCACCTTAGAATGATCTGTTCCTTCATGGGCGTTGTAAAGTGTGTCCATATGTCCTTCATGTGAGGGCGTTTTGGTCTTATCCTAATAACATAGTGAGATAAATGAACTAAATGTAATAGTTAGAGAACATAACTGTTAAAATGATCAAATTGTTCCGTCACATCTCATGTAATTGGGCTCCAAATACATCATGAATGTTTCATTTTGGAAAATGATACAAAAATGGCCTTTCAAGAGTTTTTGCTAGCAGTAGTATGGTTATTTATGAGATTATAAAAAAAAAGATAAAATGACCAAATTACCCTTTCAATACTCGGGCCACTTGATGGTAAGTAGATAACAAATGTAAGTAAAGGAATACAAATGATAAGAATATATTTGTAATAAACGAAAACTGAGGGACTAAAAACCAAAGTGTTAAACATGTATATAAAATGTAATTAACTATATATTTTCTATTTATTTTGTGAACAAAAGAAAGGCATAGAAAATGAAGGCATTATAATATATATAGAGAGAGAGAGATTGTTTCAAATACAACCCATCGCATTTGTACAACCAATGTAACCCAATAAATTGATATATTTATAAAAATGATGAGAGTTCATTTATGGAAGATGAATATGGTTCATTAATTATGATCAATACTTTATATTAGGAAACAATCAAAACTTCTATGAAATCACATATTAATAAAATGAAATGGACGGTTGAGATTATGTTGTATTGTCGTATTGGTTGTACAAATGTCAAGGGTTGTATAATAACCAACCTCTCTCTCTCTATATATATGTATATATATATATATATATGGGTCCATTCAAGTGAGAACTGATTAGTTTGTGATAACCGTGAGATATAATGTGAACCACTCGTTTGAGATACTTAAGGGTATTTCTTAAATAAGCTAAAATGGTAATATAGTAATTCTATTTTTGACAACTAATTAAATTTTTTAGAAGGAAATATTTAATTAAAACTAGTTACCTAGTATATCAATTGCCTAATATACATCGTATTTTAAAGATGCTTGTGAATCAAAGTGTATCATAATGATAACGTTCACAATATTTTACGTGTATCACAATGTATTTTCTTTGTTATGAAATGTATCACAGTGTGCATTTTTTTTGTTATTTTCATTGTTTTACAAATGGTATCATATTGTGCATCTTGTATGTATATATGGGTATCACAATGAATATCATTTGTAGGTATCATAATGTGTATCTTGTGTTCACATAAGGTTCATCGGAATAAGGTTCGTCAAATAAGATTCGTCGGAGAGATAAAAGAGGATTTCTAAAATCCCTAATATACCCTTAATTAATATTATAATTTAAAATTACCAAAATTATTAATTTTCTAATTTAATCTTTGATTTGTGGTTGAGATTGGATCTTACTATTATCACAAATAAAACAGTTCTCATTTAATTAAACATATATGTATATATATATATATATATATATATATATATATATATATGAGCGATCAAATGAAAATCACTCTCATTTGTACAAACCGTACAAACCACCGTTATACGTAGATTTCATTGTTTAATCTTATGAATTTTTTTCATGATATTGTTTAATCTTGTGAAATTGTTTCATATAATACTTTTTTTGATAAATTTGTTTCATATATGGTTATGAAATTGTTTCATATAATATTTAATGAAATTTTAATGAAACTATTTCATGTATTTCTCTAAAAATTAAAATAATGAAGATAATAATATTCATGATTAACAACTATCACAATAAAAATGGTTAATCAACCTCTTATAATTACAAAAAAAATGAACAAAATGAAAAATTATGATTGGTTGAATGAGGTTTTCACGGTTTGTACACAAATTAAGAGTGATTTTTATTTGAACGCTCCTCAATATATATATATATATACTAGAAGCGTACTCGCGCAATGCAGCGAGATACATCGTGATTTTAATATTTCATTTTATTTTTTATCTCAGTCGATGTTATAATATGGTTTTATGTGATTTTGAGAAAGCGATGATTTTTTATTTTTGAATAAAATATATGTTTGAAGATATCATAAAAAATTGACAAAAATATATCGATATTAGTATCAAATTAACTATTTGAAATTCCTCAATTTCTGTGTAATTTTTTAATTCAGTTCTTTTATAATTTAATTTATGTACAATAATGAAGTAATTTATATTTGGTTTAATAATATAATTTTTTTATAAAGATAATAATTATTTATTTTGTTGGAACTCGATAATTATTCTAATTATATTTTAG